TTTGATTTCGCAGCATCTCACGTCACGTAAAACCAGTTCTGTTGCCTAAATCGCCCCGGACGACTGGCCATACAATGCACCGATCTGTCGATGCAGATGAACTGCTGATCATTACTCTAAAAGTTTTATTGTTTCTTCCTGTTGATCCGCAAAAGACTGAAGGAGACAATATGAATGAATGAAATGAAAAATCAAACTGATCCTCAAGTGGCGTGCAATATTTGCTAAATCTGCTTGGCTAGAATAGAATAAATGCTTGTTTGAATACAGCAATAATTGCTCACAACACCATCAAGATAAAGTTTCACTGCGAATTGCACCGTTCTTTAGCTCCTAATTTTTTAGGTAGCTGTATAAACAGATCACAAATCCTGCTAACACCTGCAGCGTCGAATACGCTTTGATAATTTTGTTTGCTAAATCGACATGCCCTCCTTATGAATGATGTTTCAGAAGCTGGTAATCCATATATGCTAACGCATAAACATTAAAATATGATTTTACGAACACCGAAGAACATCAAGTAACGCATAACTCCTCGAAGGTCAAATTTCACACAGTATTACTCTCGTCTCTTGTTCAGATTGATCAGGGGCCATATAAGTAGACCATGATTCAACGATATGGTCTGAGCAAATACAGTACGACGTGTCTTCTAATAACAGCATAAAACACTGTACTTAACAATGCTTCAGTCACGATAACAATACTCGGTGCTTTGCCGTAACATCGAACAAGGAATCTAATAATGTGATGCACACTCATTTGTAAGCATCCTGTTCCATTTGTCATATAATGACTTTGGTGTTAGAATTATAGCACTCTATACGATGTTAATCGTCATGTGTAGCAAGTTATTAGGGCTTTGCAATACGGTGCACCCGGTCAAACAATGTCGACGGAAGGAAGCGAGGAGGAGGCTGCAATGAAAGAAGTACATGGTAACAAGCGAAGTTTCTGAGCTTCGCGCATTGCTGCCTACGAAATGTCATGGGTGGGCCACACTACCACCAACTCGTGAATAATAACAGCAGGAGGTGCATGAGAATTGACCTCAGCAATTTACAAGCACTCCTTACATTCTGGAGATGCGGACATGGATTATTATAAGTTCGGAAAATCTGGATACGTTTTAAATTTTTTTATAGACAGTTTACTGTGTGATACGTTGTGCACACAAATTTTTGAGATAGGTTCTCTTTACAGATGTAAGTCGCTTGCTTTGTACAGTAACCGATCACTGGAAGGAGTGAAGTATTGCAATAAACAGATTTAGGTAAATTTTATACCGAACGAGAAATTCCGATTCAACGATTTTGGAAGCAAGGCAAAGAACGATGCTCAAGTACCTTTAATTTGTACAGCCAACGTTTCGGTCACATGACAGCGACCTGTTTCATGAAAGAACAGGCAAACAAAACAATGACTACAAAGGCTGATTTCGGTCCTGCGTCAGGCAATTAGTAAAGTTGTTCACCTTCCAAACGGGCGACTGGCTTTGGATGCACGGCAAAGATTGACTTCAAATACCCTTATTAAATTGTTGTCAACGTTCGGACGTGCTCAAGACAAACGACACAAATGAAATATGTTATAATAACATTAAGGAAGATGAGGTAGGTGAAAAACGAGCAAAGTCAAATAAAAGTTTACTTCAAATTTTGACTTGACAACGGTAAACAACAACTTTGATCTAATTAAGACCTCATGAATGAAAACAGGTTATTTCGACCACGTAGGCCAGCGCATACAAGTTCAGTGGCGTGAAAGCACAGGGGCCGAAAAAATCGACCGGTTGAGGTCGTGCCGTCTGAACGTAGATTTGCGGCGAGGCAATCGTCCGGCGGTGTAACGACGAATGCTGCAGCCGAAGTCGATCATATCGTCAGCTACACTCTGTACATCTGCACATGACGTACGTCTATAAATGCTGTACATCTGTACGTCTGTGTCGGACCACAGAAAGACTTCTCCGAACTGTGAAAAGCCGGATCATTGAGAATGAACG